AAAGGAAAAGTGTAACGGATTTAGAACCCTTGCAATTCGAAACGATCGGAAACCATACAAAGACTAAGGTTTGCGTTCTTTCGATGCAAAACGAGTCAATTGACAGGCGGCACAAATGGACCATCGAAATTTTTTCACATTAAAAACTGATAATAAAAATGTTATAAAACCCATAATAACAGCAAACAAAAAGGTAAAAAAAGAAGAAAGAAAAAAAAAGACATGCAAGATGGTGGCGGTCAGGTCACCCGTCCCATGTTAGACAGGAAATAAACGGACCCCAAACACCGATGTCTACCCCTGTGCACTACTGTAACACGGTTATGACGTATCGCGCAAAGTTTAGCATTTATATATTTGAAGGGACAGGAAGCCCGGTTAGACTTCAAAGTAGATTAGCTTTGCAAAGATTTTGCGATTAGGGAAATGATTATATCTGTGTAGAATATTGCAATGACATTGTTTTACTTGAACAGGAACCGTGCAGCGTAATTTTCATTGGAGTGTTCGCTAAATCGGGACGTGACATCTAGCGAGAAGTGTCAGATGAATTCAAAATGGCAGCCAAATTATCGGCTCTGCGGTGCCTGAAGACCAGAAACTTAATAAAAATAAAATTAATATTTATCTTGCAAAAGAAATCTGTCAGACCGTTGGAAACTTTTACCAGGTACTCCGTCACCTTCGCTGCCATGTGGGACCGCAAAAGCTTATTTTTCACGTACGAAAAGAGATTCTCATGCTAGCACCAAACAAGGAACGATTTCATAAAGTTAGACAGAAAAACGTTTCTAATATTATTAATAAATGATCAAACAGCAAGATGGATTTTTTTAAAGCCGCTTTTGTATAGTCACAGTTGTCTGTGAATTTATTATTTGGAACTCTTTGAAATTTTCATGATACTTTAGACGTCCAGTGTTCTCATGCAAGGAAACGCTCTTGTACAGGTTTCAAAGTCAAGGGAGCCCGCGCGCCTAGTACACTACAATAATTGGACCTAGAAAAGAATGCAAACCAGAAGGGGTTAGTCACGAATGGACCAGGATCCGACTAATCACCTCCCTCGTGGCTGGGCGGCGCAACGGTCATCCATTCGGATGGGTGACCGTTTTGTACTCGATTTTTTCCCTTTTTTCCCTCTTTCTTCTTTTTTTCTGCTTTTCTTTTTTAAGGTGGCATGATACCCAAGATAACAATAATTTGAAGGAAATTTATACTTATACTTAGAGATTTTATTATTTCACATATCGTTGTGCTTTAATATTGAGACAAATGATTTGATACCAATTTTACCACTTGTTGTTGCTATGGTAACGAAGCTGCACCCAAAATACATTATTATAAGGCACTTATGTAACAGCTCTCACTGGAAAAGATCGCGCGCTTCAAAGGTTGTAAATTTGATAATGATTTCCATAAAATTTTCAGAATTTTGGACAGTTACATCATATTTACATCAAATTTACAACCTTTAAGCCCGCGATTTTTTCCAGCGTCTAGCTCTGAAACTATAATTGGAGTACAATCCAAACTAAGAATATTCATTGCTAATATCTCAATGCATGCAATGAACCTAAAATTGTAATATGGTTTACATAAGAAAAAATAAGCAAGTAAACAATCTCTCCTCCTTAAATATTACGCGTTTACTCACTCAAATAACAAAATTTCCATCTCCAAAAAAAACTGCCAGCTATATTTGAGCTTCTGAAAGGGCTACATTACGACAAAATAATTTTTGAAAGTTTTCGACCTCCATTAATAAAGCTTACTTTATTACAACTTGACTTTTTTTAAATAGTTACCAAGTAAGCACTAGAAAGACACTTAAAACTTTAATGATATTTTCACAGACATATTTCTTGCTCTCTATTTCACAGAAAAGAAATAATGAAGATGCCATAATTGCTAATCAGATATAAATCCGACCTTAGAGCGGATTTCGTACGACTGTGCAAAAGCACGGATCACAACACGGACACGGCACGGCACGGCATCGTCACGGAACCTCGTCTTCTAGGATTTCAAATGAAAGTAAAGATTTTACAATGCATCACGGCTACGGTACGGTACGGACACAGCACGAACGTACCGTGTTTTTTGCACAGTCATACGAAATCCGCTCTATGCTCATTTGAACGCAAGTCTGTTGTTCGTTCGATCATATAGATGACATACTTTGATTTCCAGACAATGATGTAAATATAAAAACTCAGGAAAAGAACTTTCCCAATTGAACCGTTTTTATGACGATGGATTTGTTTCTCTTAGGTTTGTCAGGTATCTGCGTTTGAGTGCTCTTTGCGATAAGTGTTCTCCAAAAGTCAATGTCCGCATGCATGAATATCGAGTTTTGTTAGCAACTATGCAAGCCAAGTTAAGCTATGTACACTGACGATTGTTAACTTGTCATACACATGAGCTACAAAAACTAATTTTGCAAAAAAAGATCCCCGGGGTTGCCGATAATGCACCACACATCTTTGTATAACAATGAAAACAACACAAATACGCCAAATAAATTTTTATTTTAAAAGACAAAAGAAAAAGAAAAAAAGAAAGAAAAAAAGTCAAAAACAAAAAAATGCGTTGCCCGCTACGAAAAACCAGACAGAAAACCAAATGGGAAAAAGATTCTGGAAACGTAGTCCTCGACCGATGCAACGCATAAGCTCCGAGGGTTAGAGCAGAATTAGATTTACTAATGTCAATGAAACTTTTTTTGCCATCTGGGGCCATATCTGCAGAAACGAAAATATATTATTAGTCAGAAATAAAATAAAATAAAAATAGGTTTGAATGACATGATTGATTAATACCTTCTTTTTGTAATAACAGTGTGTGGTGACTGCTTGACACTAGTAGGAACGACATCTAAAAGAGAATTAGTTATGTACGAAAATTATTTTAATGATCTTCATATCGAGGAAAGCATTTCGATATCATGAAATATGCTTTTTTAAAAAAGGAGTTCACACCGACGCTTTTGCGGCGATTCTAAAAATATTGTATTCATTTTGATCCCGAGAAAAAAATGTTAAAGAATCTACTTCTGTGAAAGTTAATTCGGTACATTGACAAGAATCAAAAGAAAAAGATCTTTTTGGAAATTTCGCTCTTCTATATATAGCTCAATTATGGAGCAAGATGGAGAAATTCGACTGGTATACATACCCTCTGGTTCAGGCTTTACTTCTGTTAATAGCAACATGACGTTTTATGAAACAAAAAAGGTGGCCATGTTACAAGACTTAAAATCATGAAGCAAGATAGAGAAAATCGACTGCTATACATACCAGGCTCCGACCATACTTGTACTGTTTATAGCAACATATGACGTTTTATAATACAAAAAAGATGATCACATGTTATAAAAGAATATAATAAGGATGATTTCAAACTGCTCTTTGTTCATGGATTAAATGGAGAAAACCGACGCTATCAGAATTACATAACTATACATACCCTCTGGTTCAGACTTTACTTGTGCTGTTTATAGAACATGATGTTTTATGAAACAAAAATGGTTATCATGTTATAACAGACATTGATAAGGGTGATTTCAAAGCTCTTTGTTTATCTTAATCGTGAAGTAAAATGGAAAAAAGCGCTTATATACATACCCTCTGATTCAGACTTTACTTCTACTGTTAATAGCAACACGACGTTTTATGAAACAAAAAAGGTGACCATGTTATAACAATGATAAGAAATATTTAACTCTTTCTTTTTCATCTTATTTACCATGGAGCAAGATAAAGAAACTCGACTGATATACATACCATTTACTATCAATTCATCTGGTTCTGTGAAAATGACGTTTGGAATAAAACAAGAAAAAAGGCGACCTTGTCATTACCGACTAGATAACAATGATTTCACACTTCTTAATAGAGAGGTTTAGCATGACGTTCACGGCAAACGCCAAACGGAAGAAAATATCATATGACCTGCTTTTTTTGAGCTTAACGTTGCAGTTTCAACGCGAGAGTTGGTTATTTTGAGGTTGCCATAATCGTGAAAAGCCGCTCTTTCAAATGACTACCAAAAGCACAAGGTCAGGCACGAAATTCTTATGTCATTGGTTCAGCTCTGCCGTTATTGGTTTAGCTCTGCCGTTGAGCGTGATGCTAAAACTCTCTAATATTGGAAAAAGATGTAGAAATTCGACTGACACTTACCGTTTTCTGACGAGGAAGATGAAGATATAACAAGTGTTTCGTCTAAAGCTGACAATATGATTAATTAAAATACTTTCACCATTGTTTGATTTTGTTAGACGGCATATTAACTACTAAAACGTTAATGGTATGTCTAGTGCGTTTGCTTTTTTTAAGTATCAAGTAACTAAAATAGCTTAATTGTTTAAGAAAAGGAAGTTAAGACGCATGTTGTTGCATTTCCTTTTCATTCTTAATCAAAATAGGCAACGCGAATAAGCCAGTTTGGAAACTCTTGCGTCAGGAAAAGAAGAAAAGAAAAGTCCACACAGTGAGCCACATACTATTTTACCTTCGTCTGTGCTGTCAGAAGAAGAATTGCCTAAGCAAGAAAGACCAATATATTTACAAATACAGTATTCAATAGTGTTCTCTGAAATAGCTTATAATGCATATCAACCTAATTGAAACAGCTTTGTCGGGATGCAAGATGATAATATCGAAGCTAACATATTTGCATTATACATAGAGAGTGCAAGCACTCATTACTAACCCTGTTATACTTACTATATTTACTTTCCCATGATCCATTTTGAATCCCGACTTTGTTTTTTCATTTTGGTGAATATACCAGGTTTCAAGTAATACTAGTATCAGTTCAAATCTTACCTCCAGATAGGAACAATATATTCATTTCTTCGTTGTCTTTTTTTTGATTTTCATTTTTTTTTATTTTTTTGGAATAGTAGGACTTGGGCCCCACTCCCGGGATTTTGGCTACCCACAGGGAGGGGGCACCGAGTCCATTCAACTGGTCCATCTGTATTTGTAAAAAAATAAATATATAAATGTCATTGATATAAAAAAATAACACAATTAGTATGCATAAAATAGAGAAAAGTTTAAGGTAAGTACTCGACAACACAATAAATATCATTGTCAGTTCCTAGGAAATCAGATTCACGAATATGATGTTTGCCCGTTGGAGGCCATTATATGATTGGCTACGTAGGAAAAGTAAATTTCAAACTTTTCGCCGTCAAAATTGCAGTATAGCAATGAACGAGTTCCGAGTTTGCAGTTAAGATTTTTTGAAATTTGATGAGATGAAAAGCGCACTTTTGAAAGTAATGATATTCCCGTCAATACATTTGGCATTCTCAAAACTTGGTTCGAGTGGATCCAGGCCCAGCTGAAATCAAAGGTTGTCATGCATATTTTTTATTAACAACTTATTTAACAACTTATTAACCTTCCCCGAAAAAGACAAACGGAAGAAAAAAAAACTTAAAATATATGCAAATACACTTTATACTCACACATGTTTTGATTTTGGATTGGAGTTTTTTAACCCTCCTCTTTTTGGTCTCAGTTCCCTCCAAGCTACCAGTTGTGTTGTTTATAACATAGGCTCTTCTTCTGTAGGACTCCTTTTCTTGTTCACTCTTATCCCTCCATTGTTGGTGCATTATTTTTAAAAGGCTGTTTTCGTCCATCCCCCTGAGCCTATGTTCCTTTGCTTTAATTGAAAATGTTTTTAATTGAAAATCTCAACTGAATACTTTTATGTACTTGTTATAATTGTCATTTAATTATCTATAAAATACCTCCTAATGTCTTACTTTCGAAATAATAAATGCGAAAATATCACATTCGTGGTATACTTATATATATCATATACAGCTATTTGCAATAATTCTGACCCCCCCTACACTAATATTCATATATATCAAAGTAGCCTTAGAAATTGTGAGATACCAATGCTGATATTTTTTTGAGAAAGTACTCATTCTGGGCAACTCAAAAAATATATCAGTCATGATATCCCATAATATTTAAGGCCAGTTTGATATATATGAAATATGGCAGAGGGGGTCAGAATTATTGCAAACAGCTGTATGGGAGGTAATGATATAATTATAAGGTTACCCAACTATTGCTTGAGCAGAAAAAAACCAAGGTACCTTTTTATTTATCGACGCGCGCTCTTAGTGAAATACGGACTACCTATGGAGTTTCGTCATGATCCCCTTCCTCGTCACAGACTAGTTTATTATATTCCGACAGGCACAGGATGATAATGTAATATCACAGGTAATCCRCTGAGAGCGCTCGTCGATAAATAAAAGCGTGTGCAGCTCGTCCTTCTCTTCTTAAACCAGGGTTGGATGGAGAATGTTACAATCAGAAAAAAGAGAATGTCACATCAGAAAAAAATATCATAAGTGATACACACCTTCTTCAGATGTTAAAAAATCGGACTGGAAAACAGCCTTTGCAGATTTTTTTTTGAGGAGGGAAGGGACGCGAGGGGCCTTTTGTCTAGGCCCTCTTTGTGCGCCCTGTCCCCTCCTCTTCCTTTCATTGCCGATCCAGTTCTAATAATAGGAAAATAGATTAGTACAAAGTATATTTCTAGCACAAGAATGAAATTGTAATGACTAATAATTCAATAGTTTTGTCAATTCATGTGATAAATGTCTTGCTACAATATGGGGTGTACATCATTCATTCATACTTTGAAGTAGGGAAATATTAAGATCAATTTTAACACTCTAAAAAGTACAATTCAAGACTCCAGCATTAAAGGCCCAGAATCAATCAGGGTGCTCATCGGTTTCATACCTACACAATCTTTAAAGTTTGAGTTGAATGTTTAATTTACACGGAAACGTTTTGTTTCTTGATTCATTGAAAGCTCATGCAGCATTGATAATATTCTCAAATTCTCGGTACAGTAAAAAATAATCTGACAAGAAATCATGACGAGGTTTGGGAACCCAAAGGGAGATATAGTTAAACTACCAAAATAATTAATATGGATGCTTTTGTTATACCAAATGATACAAGCTCTCTAAAATAATGGTTGTACACATCAATCCTACACAGATGTACATCAAAGTGATAAACGTTTGCATATATCGGTTTTGCAGTGACAAGATCGGTAGAAAGAGGTCTTTTGGAAAGGCATTCCCTTTAGTCAAGATATATTAAAAAGGCCTAGTACGAGTGCTTTCAAACTGTTTGGATTGAAAACAAGCCACTATATGAGGGTTTTT